AACCTCCTGCCTTCCATTCTTCGCTTGGACTTCTGCACTCGCTGAGTCGGCCAACGCTCGTCTCGCGCGCCGCCGCACTAAACTGGCAATGGCATCAATTCTATCTGTCTGCGGGTTCTCCCCAACCAAACCGAACTCCCAAGCCAGCTCCGCCCCCTCTCCCGCCCATATATCAGCTACCGCATTACCAACCGCAGTCTCTAACTGCAGCTCGGTAGTCAGCAGCTCTGGGGATTCATCCGTGTGAGAGGGTGTCCACTGCACTTCGACAGTGGCGGTATCTGGCCTAGAACTCCAGGACACGCGGGCCCTGGTCCACAAATCTTCATTAGCCCCAGTCGGGCTCGGGTTCTCCATTTTAAAACGCCACTTCTTAGCGACCGACAAATGACCAGTGACAAAAACGAACGGCCCAGGGATCTCTTCTAACGCTAGACAAAACGCCTGGATCTCCGAGCGCGGGACGGTTTGGCGGGCTCCGAGCAGGGGACGGGCCAACGCCGCCTGGACAATCCATTCTCCCTGGGACCACCTCAGGGAGCAGATAGAAGAGCCACATCTCCTCCGTCTGGGGTCGTCCGAAAATCGCCCCCCCGAGCCGTCGCCGTAAACCTTTAAAACCCCGTCGCTTCCTCGAGAGGCCTCAAAGTCCCCCTCCCCGCCCAGCCGAAGCTCCCGCCCCTCCAGCCGCCCATCGTCAAAGAGGGGGTGAGTGAGGCGAGTAGGGGGAAGACCACGGAGCCATAAAGCTGGCTCCGCTTCTGCTTGTGCTAAAGCCGACACAATCAAAGGCTCAGTTTTGCTATAATCGCTATGATCAGTGTTCCTGGAACATTCCCATATTCTATGCTTCAAGCTCTCAGGGGCTTGCTTACATCTCGGGCAATCGACTGAAACTTCGTATCCTTTTTCCCTGCAACGAACTCTCGGCCACTGGCCGCCAGCGACCACCGTCACGTTGAGCGCCAGCTGATCCAGCATCCCCTTGCGCTCGAACCTGCGCTGCTCCATTACAATGGGCCACAGGTCTCCGCCCTCCTGCAAGTTGTCACCAAACTCGTGCTTGGCAGCCTCCGTCCAGAGGTCCCTGCGTAGGTCGCCCTCCAGGTCGTCCAGGAGCTCCTGGAAGCAGCCCTTGGCCACGAACTTGCCGTCCTCGGAGGTCGGCAGCTCCCACATCTCCAACTCTTCAGGTCCAGGTCGATGCCATTGAGTGGCTGTCGAGGGTGTCCATCCAGCATCCATTAGCGTTGCCATCAGAGCTCCTGTGGGGCCCCGTACAGCTCGCCATCTCTTGTCGCCATATCTGTGGAGCCGCGCCTTGATGAACGGCCATGCTTTCGCCACTCGTCGATGGATGTGGGGAAACCTCTGCCACAGGCCTATCCATTCTCGTACCACACCCAGTCTGAGATCAACTGCGGGGTCTCTCAGGCCTAGCTCCATGCCCAGCGTGGTCGTCAGACATCGACCTCCTGCACTGCCTCCTGCCACTTTGCCCGCCTGCCTTCTCAGCACGGTGATCGCCTGCTTGGACATGCCGTACGTCTGCTGCCCATAGATCGCCTGCGGCAGTGCGCCCACGTTATAGAGGCCCTTGGACTCATGCTTCAGCGCAGCGATCTTCCTCAGCTTCACGATCTTCGCGAACCTCCTCCTCGCCTTGAGCTGCCGCTGCTTGCTCTTTGCTGCTACCCGCTTACGTCCTGCAGCTGTGTCCAGGCCCAGGTCCGTCGCCACGCCGCTGGCCTTCGCAGGTATGCCACGTATTCGTAATCGCTTAGCTGTCTTCCTAGCCTCCTTCAAGTCTGAGCCTATCACCGTGGTCTTATTCGATATAGTCATACGTTGTTCCACCAATCCAGTGCATATATCCGTCGACACCTCCAGCAGCTGCTCCGCCACCGTCTGTGAACTGCCCTCGCATCTTGCTACCGTGTCGTCCACGAACGTCCACAATCCTGCTGTTGGGTGTCTTCGATGCGCCATCTCAAGCACTGGATGAAGAAAAAGCTTCGCTAGAGTTACTCCTCTCGCGGATCCTGCCACCAGTGATCTGGTAGGCCAGATGGCCTCGCTGATGACAGAACGCTCCTGCAAGTATCTGGGTCCAAGAAAGATCATCGCTTCCAATCCAACTGCCACCGCAGGGAATCCTGCCGTACACGCAATCTGCAGTAAGATGACCAGCGAGACCGTGTCGTAGAACTTTTCTATATCTAACAGCAATGTCATGGCCGAGGCGCCGATCTCGATGCCTGTCTCGTCCAAGATCGACCGAAGGAGTCCTGCCCTGAGCGCTGAGCTCCCCTTGATCGCAGTGTCCCAGTGGTCTGATAGCCCAGCACTCCACAAGGCACATGCTCCGCCTCGCGCTCTCGACCATAACTTGACTGGTAACGGTAACATACCCAATACTCGATCACCTGCACCTGGCCCAGGCTTGGCCACCATAGCACACTTGGTCGCTGATAGCTGTCTTGGCCATGTCAAAGTACTTTCACTTCTCTGCAATATTTCCAACAATTCTTGCTTAGCCTGGCCAGGAAGTCTGTCAATATCCGTGGGGCCAAGCTGATCCAGACCTTTCGCTTTGGATGCCGATGTGACTCGGAGCGCACTATTGAGCATGTCCATGTCTATGGGGTCTAGGTCCTCCTCCCACGCTCTTCGCTTGGTGCGCTCCAACTGCTCAATGATGTCAGCTCGTCTGTCCACGGGGTCCGTCCGAGGAGGGAGGAGGGAGGAGGGAGGAGGGAGGAGGGAGAGGGAGGGAGGAGGGAGGAGGAGGAAGGGAGGAGGGAGGAGGGAGGAGGGAGGAGGAGGAGGGAGGAGGGAGGAGGGAGGAGGAGGGAGGAGGGAGGAGGGAGGAGGGGAGGAGGGAGGAGGGAGGAGGGAGGAGGGAGGGGAGGAGGAGGAGGGAGGAGGGAGGAGGAGGAGGGAGGAGGAGGGGGGAGGGGGAGGGGAGGGGGAGGGGGAGGAGGAGGAGGAGGAGGAGGAGGAGGAGGAGGAGGGAGGAGGAGGAGGAGGGAGGGAGGAGGAGGAGGAGGAGGAGGGGAGGGAGGAGGAGAGGAGGAGGAGCAGGAGCAGCAGCAGCAGCAGCAGCAGCAGCAGCAGAAGCAGCAGCAGCCGCCGCGCCGCCGCCGCCGCCGCGGCGGCGGCGGCGGCGCGGCGGCAGGCAGGAGGAGGAGGAGGAGGAGGAGGAGGAGGGAGAGGAGGAGGAGGAGGAGGAGGCAGGAGGGGACTGCGTGCTTTTAGACAGCTCGAAGCATGCTGCCTCGCGAGGCGGTCCCGCCCTGCTGCGAGCGCCAGCAAATAGAAGGCCTCCGTGCCAGCGCAGCGGGGCGGCGGGCGGCACCCCGAAGGAACGCCCCTGGGGGCTGCCGCTCGGGGCCGGCCCTGGCGCGCGCGGCGCGCGACACGTCCCGCCCGCGGCTGCGCGTCGCAGTGACCCCCCGCCGGAGCGGTCTTTGGTGCGGGCGAGCCGTGGTCCCCAGGAGCTCCTCCTCCTCCTCCTCCTCTTCCTCCTCCTCCTCCTCCTCCTCCTCCTCCTCGCTCTTCCTCCTCCTCCTCCTCCTCCTCCTCCTCCTCCTCCTCCTCCTCCTCCTCCTCCTCCTCCCCCCTCCTCCCCCCCGTCCTGCGGAACGACGAGGACGAGGACGGTCCATGTGGTCCCGTGGCAGCTGCTTCTGTCTTCCTTGCCCGGGTGCTGTGCCCTCTCGCGCTTCCCCGAGGCAGTCGCGCGCCGAGAAAGGTCGCTCCTGCCCATACTATAGGCAGGAGCGACCTTGCGGCGCGGCCCTCTGGGCCCTATAGGCGAGCGCGGCCCTATGGGCCCCAGAGGGCCGCGCTCGCGTGCTGGCCGACCTCTCCCCCTCGGCAGGGGGCCCCCGCGCCCTCCCTGCGCTGCCGCCCGCCGGTGGTCCCCGCGGTGCCGCCCGCGGGCGGCGCTCCGCCGGCCTGCCCGGGGCCTGGCACGAGGCATCGCCTGCAGAGGCGACGACAGGGGCGGCTGGCCCAGGGGGAGAGCGAGGAGTGCAGTACATGTACGGTAGGTTTGCGTCGTGTCGACCAGCGGCGACCCCAGCGCGGGCGTTCAAGGTTGAACGCCGCCGGCGACCCAGAATCGATCGGTGTTGAACGATCGGACGTTGCGGCAGCGGCCGATCGTTCAAGGTTGAACGATCCCTGCGGTGTCAAAAACCAACGCTGGGGTCGGCACGACACGAACCTGCCGTATGCAAGTGCGCTGATGATCGATGTTCGTAAACTGGAACATCTACGTTACCAGTGGCGTGCTGTTTCTCAGTCTCTGGGCTTTTGGAGGGTCAGTGGCGACGTCGGGGTGGTGTGGTGCATACTTTTTTCCCCCGCGCTCCTAGAAGTGACGACCATGTATACACCAGCATCCCGCATGCACCATGATCCGCTTTCCTGTGCGAGTTTCGGTGCAGGGCCGGAAAAAGCGTCGGTGTGTGGAGTCCGGTTCCCTATATGTCTTCGAAGTGGCTCCCGGGCGAATGCGTGCGATGCCCGCCCCCTGGGCTATTCGCCCCTACGCGTCGCCGCCGACGCTTGGGCGTCGCGGCACGGAGGCGCGACGAGCGAGGGGGACAGCGAGGGTGGCAGAGCAGGGGCCCGGCAGGGCCCCTGGAAGGGGGCCTCACCGAGGGACACACCTTTCTCTCCCCGCCCCCCCGCCAGTCATCGCCCCCCCCTGCATTCTTTATTTTTTTTGTTGATCTGCAGGGCGAGAGCGAATCTCTCATCGTCCCGCCCCCCCCTACAGTGGAGGGCCATGGCAAGAAGCACCCTGCTTGCCTCAAGGGTGCCCCGGGTTCCGTAGGTCTCGATGGTCTTGCTGTGGACGGCGTGCCGTCCTCGCACCAAAAATCAATGAACGTCCTGGAGTCTCAGGGTTTGGTTTCTCACGGAAGTATCTTGTGGTCGGGCCCCTACTGTAATGCACGCCCACATCACCCGCCAGTGCACACACGGAGCTCCTGGCGCCCGCGCTCCAGTGGCGGCGGCCCTGGCCGCTTCACAGCCCGTGGTGGGCGCAATGCCGGCGCGCCCTCTGTAGCCCGCGCCCGCAGATTCCCGGAAGCTGCGCGTCCGAGTCCTGCACGTGATTGCAGGGGTGGCAGGAGGGAAGAAAGAGGAGGGCAGAGCAAGGACGAAAGAGGGAAATCAGGAGGAAAAGAAACACACTGACACAAGTAATCCTCGATTCGCCAGAAAATATGGGAAAATATGGGAAGTGGGTGGGAAGACAGAAACCAAGAAAATATATGAAAATATATGGAAATATGGAATAGTTTTATTTGTGTGTATTTATTTGTGTGTCCTGGGGCCCCTTCAGGAAAGTGGAATGGGGGCGACAGGCGAGGGAGGGAAGGTCACGCGTGAAGGAAGCTGGCAGGAGGGCAGAGAGGGTGCACAGGAGGACGCCGACGAGCAGGATCGGGGAGTGCGGCAGGAGGGATGGAGACAGGGAGGGAGGACGAGGAGGAGGAGGAGGAACAGGAGTGGGAGTGGAATAGAGGAGGCTCTCGCTGATCGGCAGTAAGAGGAGGGGGGGGCACCGATGCCCGCTGCTGATGCCGCCGCCGTCGTCTCCCATTCCATCACGTTTGATCTCTGGCCTGTCCGAGCGTAGCTTGAATCATCTGCCATACCATCACGACGAAGAACAAGAGGGGGATGGAGGAACAGGATGACGGGGGAGGAGGAGGAGGAGGAGGAGGAGGAGGAGGAGGAGGAGGAGGAGAAGGAGGAGGAGGAGAAGAAAAAGGAGGAGTAACCGCATGCCGATGATAATAAAGGGACCCCCCCCCTTCAGTGTTTAGAGTTGATTATCGTCGCCCTATACAAAATTCAAATTGGGCGGCGAGCGCTGAGGCCGAACTTCATTATCACCTCGAAACGCTATGTTGAGATAGCAACATCAAGCGATGTTGATATAGCAACATCAAGCGAAGCGATCACACTTTTTCAGGATGTGTCAAGCGAAACCAATAATTTTGGGAGGCAGACTCAAACGAAACGAGCAATGTTCTTATTATTCTTCTACTTATATTTCTATCTGTCCTCACGCTCTGAACTTTTTTTATATCCCTGTCCTCACGCTCGCCTGAACTTTTTTATCCCTGGGGTTGATTATCCATGGAAAATGAAGCACATGAGCTACCCTACACGAGCACTTAAAAAATCAATTTTCATAAAGCGTTTGTAAATTAAAATTGATAGATTTGGAACTTTGGATTTTTCCTTTCTTCGTCCTCTTCTTATTATCCTCTTCTTCTTCTTTCTTAGTATTCTTCTACTGTATTCTTCTTCTTTTATATTTCTCTCTGTCCCCACGCTCGCCTGAACTTTTTTATCTCTGGGGTTGATTATCCATGGAAATTGAGGCACATGAGCTACCCTACACGAGCACTTACAAAAAACAATTTTCATGAGAGATAAGTCATTGTTGAGGATATTTCTATGAAAACTAAACGCCAAGGATGTCTCAAAACGTGCTCGGCTTGGTCTCCTCTTGATCATCTCTTACTTCGAGATTATGCTGAGGTCTGCTGGGCTACTTTTATTATCTCTCCCTGAACCCCGAACTTTATTATCCCCTAGTGTTTATTCTCACGGGCATGAGGTTATCGTGAGAAAGAGGGAGGCGGAGGGCGGATAGACGAGGGATGGAGCAGAACCACGTAGGAGGAGCAGGAGGAGGAGGAGGAGGAGGAGGAGGAGGAGGAGAAGGAACATATGCACGAGGAGGAGTAGGAGAAGGCGGAGGTGGGAGGGAGAAGCAGAGGGGAGGGCAGAGCAGGAGGAGCCGCAGCAGCAGCAGCGGGCAGCGGTGGAGGAGGCGTGAGCGAGAGGAGCGAGAGAGGGTTCCTCCCCTTTCCCTGCGCCTCCCCTTCCCGCCTCGCCAGTACGCCGCTGAGCTGGGGCGGACCGCGAGGATACCGCCGACTGGGCCCTCTTGCTATCGCGGGCGTCAGAATGCGCGTGTCTTCCCCGTCTTCCATGAGAGTCAGTGTCACAGTGAACCCGGCGTGACCCAATTTGGGGGCCTCCTTGCACAGCAATTCGAAGCAGTTCTCAGCAATGCCAAGCAATGCAGCTCAAGGCCTTGCTTGGCTTTGCTTTGCGTTGCCTGGCATCGTTTGGAAGGTTGTGGATTAGGTAGGGGCAGAGGTTGGCAGAGCTTTGCATTGCTTTTACACTGCTTTGGCATTGCTCTGGCACTGCTTTGTCATAGCTTGGCATCGCCTGGCATTGCCCGCCAGTGCTTGGCGTTGCTTGGTGTTGCTCGGCGTTGCTAGTCCTGCGCGGGCACCCCGTGGCACCCCCGGGGCAAAGCCTACGGTCAGGAATTCTGGCTTAGCGTGTCGTGCTGCCGAATTGGCCCACCACGTTTCGGCGCGACACGCTATCCACGTCCCGGCCCCCAATCATGAGTGTCTGGAGGAGAATACACACAGACACAATCAATCGTCTATTCCCAAGGAAATATAGGGGAAATATGGGAATGGGGGGGAATACGAAAACTCATAATATATATATATATATATATATATGTGTGTGTGTATATGTGTGAAAAATCCGGGGGATCCTTTGATATGTGTCTATTTATTGGTGTGTCCTTGGGCCCCTTCAGAATGGTCCGCGCCTTTCCCAGCCGCCCGCCCCGCAGAGCGGTGCGATTCGACGTCCGCCTGCAAGGGAGTTGGCGTCTCGCCAGGGCCGCCGTGGCGACACGCCAAGCAAGAGTTCCTGACCGCAGTCGGTGAAGAATCGGGCCCGCACGATGTTCGGAAAAAAACACAAGTACCACACAGACACACATCAACGTCGATCCCCAGAGAGAAATATTGGAAACATGGGAAGCGAATGGGCAGCCGAAGGTGCAGGAGATAGAGACTTTTTTATCATGGAGGAGGAGGAGGAGGAGGAGGAGGAGGAGGAGGAGTTGTGTCTGTGCACTGGTCTGTCCCTGGGCCCCTTTCTCGAAGTCCTTGGAGCTCCGCCAAGCCCAGGCCCCCGACGTCGTGTTTTTTTTCAACGTCGACCTCCAGAGGTCCCTCCTCGTCCTCCTCCTCCTCCTTCTCCTCCTCCTCCTCCTGCCCGGGACCGGCGTTTCGTTCTGGGGCGTTTTTGTTCCACGGTCCCGAGGCCGTCGAGAAAAAAGAGAAGCCGCAGGTCTTTTGCCCCAGGCCTTTTCCCCGAGGCCCGACCCTTTCCCCGAGGCCCCACTGGAGGCCGAAGATAGCGAGAAACCTCCCGTCGCGATTCTTCACAACGCGAGGAGGTCCGGGGACCCCTCCCCCCACGCCCCCAGGCTTTGGACGCCCGAAAAGAATGGGTACAATGCCCGACAACAGATGCTGTCCCAACCAACAGCGGCCGCTGTTTGGCAGGCGGCCCTCTGTCCCAAATGTACACGGGCCGCGGCGACGCCGATAGCGAGTCCTCTTCGAAATGAGCAAGAACTGCTGTTGGGCATTGCACCCATTCTTTCCGTACCCATGTCGGTCGGGCATAGCCAGGACCCCAGGCAAGGGGACCCGGCTAGCGGCAGGGCCCTGGGGCCCTGGAATTGGCCAGATTCACTACACCAGGTTTGCCGTAACTGGCGTTTTTCGGATGACGGCAGCTCCGGTCAGTGGAATTTGGGACGGGGGGGCGCCCCCGGCACACATCACGGAACCAGGTCCCACGACACCCAGCTCTGCCAACCCCCGAGTCGGGGCGGCGCCCTCGGGCTCCCCCCCCCCCCCCCGCCGGCGCGCAGCCGCGCGCCGGGGAATGGGGGGGGGGGGGCGTGGGAGGGGCAGCTGGCGCGGGTTCACAGTAAGTGCGTGGCGCGACCTCTGGCAGTCGCCCGGCCTTCCGTGGGGCGTGGCGCAGTGGTAGGGCGATCAACGTCAAGGGGGCAGCACATCGGAGGAGGGGAAGGTACCCATACCTCTACCCTGTCCCCGTTTTCCCCTTTTTGGGCCTCCTGGGCCTCCGTCGTCGCCACCGCTGGAGTCGCCTCGAAATCCTGGTTAGAGCGCACCCCGGGAGAGGTCCGGGGAGTAGCGGTATCTGTGCCTTTCGGTTTCCCCCCAAAACACCCCGAACGCGATAGTGGGCGTTTGCCAAACGGCCCTGGATGTTTACTAAACATCCCTGCTCTGTTCGATTCCTTCCTCGGGTGCGTGTTCTAAGCGGCTTCCCTGTTCGGGGTGCTTATTATGGGGGTGTATTTTCTGCTCTCTAATGAATGGGGGGGGCGACGGAACGTACCCTTTTGGGGCACAATGGGACCCCATTAGAGCCCCTTTAGGGTACAAAATGTGCACCATGCCTCACGCCCCCATTCACCGCACACCCATCACTGGACGCCCGAATGTCCTCCGCGTCGTTATCCTCGTCGTCGCCATATTCCTCGTTCTCATGCCGGGGCCAGCTGCAAACGATCATGTCCTCTGGGTGCGCGCTCGCATTCCAGCCAACGGCACGCGCCCGAGTCGTACGCCCCTTTCTGGAGGGACCTCCTCGGCACTGTGGCAGACCTGTGCAGCAGGATCCCGGCAAGCATCGTGCAAGCGGGTGGTCGCAGGGTTCCTGTTTCATCCGTCCTTGAAGCTCTTGCATTTGAGAAAAAAACGGCTGTGCGCGGCGGCAACGCGAGAACCACATTTTTGAAACGACATGCCTTCCGTCCGTGAGATTCTCGCAAATTTTTAAACGGATTTGCACGGCACTGATGCGAGAGCCACATGTTGGAAACAATCCGCCCTCCATCCGTGAAGATATTGCAAACTCTGAGCTTCAGAATCATAGCTGGTGACGACGTCTCAGGCGAAGCGACTGGCCCGCCCTTTCGTCCCGCTTGGGGATGCGACAGCGGGGAGTTATTCATAAGGTAAAGGAATTGAGGATGAGGAGGGAGCCCTAGTAGAAGGCGGAGGTCCAGAGAGGAGGTGAAGAAGGTGGAGGAGGAGGGAGTCCGAGGAGGAGGTAAAGGTCCAGAGGAGGACGATGAGGAGGAGGACGGGGAGGACGACGAGGAGGAGGACGAGGAGAAGGATGAATATGAGGGAATGTTCGGCTGGTGCATTGTTTTATGGTGCAAGCAAGGTGGATATGCGTTAGGACCCTCCTTTATTGGTCTACGGCTCAAACTTCAAATACGGTAAAGGTACGTGAGGACCCTCTTTGATGTACGTCGTCGTTCGCCTAGGGTCTACAAAGGAGTTCTCGGCCCCCTCCAGTGGCAACTGGCGCCTTAATATGTTGAAGTGTAGAAAATGGGAGCGAGGCCCACAGCAGCACCCATGATGGCAGCTGCCGAGGCGGCGGAGCATATGACGGTCACCTCCGGAGGGGCACAGGCCCATGATCGTCCTCGCCGGAGGGGGAGGTGGGGCGAAGCCTATGTCCCGGAACGTCTGGTGCCATCCGCGGAGCTAGGGTCGAAGTTCTTGACGAGTCTTTGAAGGGGAGTTGCCTAAAGAGGGAACCATCGGGCGGGGCTGGGGCGAGGATGGATCCGTTCCAGGGCGTTCCAGAACGCTCTCAGAGTGTTCCGAAACTTCTGAGAAGACCGCGGCGCCCGAGGCATCCTCCAGAGCCGCCGGATCTCGGGGATTCTCGATCTACGTTCTCCTGGTCTTACGTTCGTCATGTCTTCGTCTTAGACCAGACAGGGGTTCGGCTCTGGGGAGAGGAGGCCGAAGAGGAACAAGCATGTGGCGGGGGGGGGGGAACCCACATGATACGGGGGGGAGCACCCAGAGGAGAGCACCAGAAATGTGCCCGATATGCCACCACCGTCCAGCGCTGCAGTTCGCTGGCTTCCCCTCCGGTCCGAGGACCAGAGGGACCGGGAGGACCAGGAGAAGGAGGAGGAGCAGGAGGAGCCTCTCGTGGCAACCTGGAGGCCTGGCTCCGGTGAGGAGGATCGGAAGGGCATAGAATCGAGAGATCCACTCCAGAGCGACCCAGACCGCTCTCAGAGCTTTCTGGAACGCCCTGAAGCGGCCGCGGCGCCGGATACATCCCCCAAGCCCGCCAGCTGCCAGACATATTCCCGATTGATATCGGTTGATTTTGTCGCGTTTCTGCCTTCGGCTTAGATCGGCGACGAGCGAGGGGGGGATTTGAAAAGGAGAGGGCTTCAGAAGGTGAGAGCGCTTCTGCGAGGTGTTCTGTGTCTTCGGGGGAGGCTTAGAACACCGTTATGAAGGCTGGAGACCTTCCGAACCTTCTGAGAAGGCCCGCCCCTTCTCACCGCTCTTCCTCCTCTTTCTCCTCCTCCTCCTCCTCCTCCTCAGCGCCACCGAAGTAAAAACAGACTCGAGCGCCTCAAGCTACGGTCACTCCTCCTCCTCCATTTCTTTTCCTTATGCATAATTTCTCCCTGTCGCACCCCGAGGTCAGTTTCGAAGGCGGGCCGGGCGTTTTGCCTGTGACCCCCTTGCCATTTATGACTCTGGAGATTGACAGTTGACGACAGGTTCACCGATGGAGGGCGGGTCGTTTTAAAAAAGTGGCTCTCGCGTTAGCGAGGCGCACATTCGTTGCAAACGTTTATAAACAGAAGCTTGACGGATTAAAGACGTGTCGTTTTCGAAATGTGGCTCTCGTTTTGGTACGTCGCACATTCGTTCTAACAAGTTGCATGAGTTTCACGGATTGAAGGCGGGTGGCTTTCAAAATGATGTATTCGATTTAGCACGGCGCACACTCGTTTTAAACATTTGCAAGGGCTTCACGGATTCGTGGCGGGTCGTTTTCAAAACGTCTTTCTCGCTTTAGCGCATCGCACATTCGTCTTAGATCATTCCAACAGTTTCACGAATTGAGGGCGTCTGGTTTTCAACATATGGCTCTCGCTTGCGCGCGGCGCACATTCGTTCTACAAATTTCCAAGAGCCTCACGGATTGAGGACGGTTCCTTTTCAGAAGGCTGTTCTCGCTTTTGTGCGGGGCACATTCTTTTAATTCACAAGAGTTTCACGATTCCCAGAAATGGTGTTCTGAAAGGAATCAGGCTTATGCGGGTGCAACAGTTCTCTTGGTTCGCTGTGTTGAAGTCCCAGGAATGTCGTTCTGGCGCGATTCAGGATTGTCAAGACGCAACAGTCTGGTTGATCCGTAACGTTAGAATGTTTTGGCATGCTTCAGGGTCTTCAAACGGTTGTTTTCCAAAGAGGCAGTTCGACCGAGTTGAACCGTTGCAGGGGCCTATGGAGAGGGAGTTTGGAGGGTGGGTTTATTCCAACATCGGTGATGACTCGTGGATCTACGCTGGTCCTCCTCCTCCTCCTCCGCCTCCCCGTCCTCCTCGTCCTCCCCCCCCTCGTCCTCACTTCCCCCCCGGGCTCGACGGCAATGAGAGGAGGCGGCCGCCCGGGCCGAGGACGGGCGCCCCGCGCGGCGGCGCGGCGGCGGAGGCGCCCGGCGCGCAGAGGCTGCGCGCCTCGGGAATCGCCGCGCTGTGGCAGGCCGCGGCGCTGCCCGGGGCCTTCCCCTCGCTCCCAGCCCCTCCCTGCGCTTCGTGGGAGGGGGGGGCAGAGGAGGAGGAGGAGGAGGAGGAGGAGGAGGAGGAGGAAGAGGAAAAGGTACCCATACCGCTACCCTCCGCCCGTGTTCCTTTTTGTTTTGCCCCCCCCTGGGAGGCCCTCGTCTCCACCGCTGGATTCGCTTCGGAATTGTATTCAGAACGCACCCCTGGAGAGGTCCGGGGAATAGTGGTATCAGTAGTTTTTGATTTCTCGAGAGGAGGAGGAGGAGGAGGAGGAGGAGGAGGAGAAGGAGGAGGAAGAGGAGGAGGAGGACGAGGAGGAGGATGAAGAGGAGGAGGAGGAGGAGGAGGAGGGGCAGGACGCCTCCGATAGCCACTGCCCGCCTGACCTGGGTGTGAAGTCCGCTCATATCACCATCGCCATGTACCGCTAACCTATCGGCCCAGGTATTGGCATACATACCGCGTTGCTATCTGTGCGGTTCCTCCTTCACCTCTACCTACTGACTCAGGTATAGGATCGACCCATCGGTCGTGTCCCGGCACCGTGGAACGTCTCCAGACAACGCTTTCGCGCGCCCCCGCCGCTGGGCTGAAGCCACACCGCCCACGAACGTGTCCGTATCCGAACACGTGCGTGTCATTGAGAATCGTGCAGGACGGACATCTCAGCGAAGGGCTCCAAAACGGCATCACATTCGCTGTCTTACACGGGACAACAGTCGCAGCCCATCCCAGAGGCGCTCGCGGCATGGTTCCCTGCCTCGCGACATGGCGTCGCTTGCCTTTTCCCGCCGCCACTGACATGGCGGAACTTCAAGACTGGGTTGACTTTTACACGACCCAACAGTTGTTGGGCCTGGCCGCGCAGACGGCCACCTTCGGGCAGGAGCTTCAATGAGCTCTTGCATTGGTCGACGCTCGGATCGCTGAAGACCGATCGATCGCCACTCAGGTCCACTATCAAGTTGACCAGATGGAGCCACGCCGAGGTTCCGATTCCAGCACAGTCCAAACGCTGCACGATTTCTTCCTCTGGATGGAGGGTCAACCCGTGAGCGTCAGAGACAGCGAGACTGCCGCCATTAGGGTGACACGATGGGCTCCTGATGGCCTTGCAGATCCCGCCTACGGAGGTGCATGGACCAATGGATCAACAATTACGCGAGGACACCGACACACTTCGCACCCAGGTAGAGATGACCACTGCCACACTACACTCCCGACATACCACACTCACGTCCGAGTTACACGGCAAGCCGCGTGGTGCCGATATGGCCCTCGCTCAACGTCTTGACGCTTCTGAGGGGCGCGTGCCAACGCGTGGGAGCCGAGTATCCACGGTCGAGCACCACTTACCTGAAATAAGAACTGCGCCGGGTGAGTTGCGTGTTGCACGGGCCCAGACTGCGCAGCTGGGCACACCGCCTTCAGTTTTCGATTTCGCTTCCCTCGAAGCCCGACTGGCCGTGGCACGGGTGGCGGCGGACCGCGCGCAGTTACGACTCGCCCAGATCTCCCATGAAAGAGACGCCGAAAACGCACGGGCTGAGGAAGCACTCGCCCGTTTGGAAAAATAATGCGAAGCGCACCATCGACGAATCCAGGACTTCGAGCAGCGACTGGACAGGCACTCCCGGCGAGCCCGCGACACCAACGCTGAGATACGTGGCGCACAACAGAGTGTTAACACGATGCGCGATGGCATCGCGACCAATGAAGCTGCACTGACTGCCCACGCTGGCACCGCTCAGATCCACGATCCGACCCCGCCTCCTGGTCATCGAAATGACTGAGTCTCTACAGATGCCGATGGTGACATCCGCGCAGGACCCGTGATACGCACCTCACCAGGTGCCGCCTCCGCAGCGGCCTCCACGCAGACACGTCGCGCCTCGCCTGCGCGACCATCATCGCCAACCCAACCAGTTCCAACGCAGATTTTGTCACACCTCTCACTCATCAGTGCCACTCCAATCAAGGAATCAGACACCGTGCGCAAGCCACAACTGCCACGCACTACGCAACTACAAGACTTTGGCAGCGCTTCCGGACGCCTTGCCAAGGCCATGCATTCCTACGCATCGCTAAAGAACCAACCGCGACTGACGAGGACATCCGGGTAAGCGGCGATTTTGAAAGTATCGACTGCGAACTCGCAGCTGGTCTCACTGCGGTCCACAATACTAAGCTCCAGTACCGAATCAAGAACATCACAGCTCAGGAACACAAAGCTGGCCGTACGCTGAAGGGTAAGCAACTATACTGAACGATACTAAAATCCTACAAACTCACCCGCGTCGACGACACACTGCATGACTTCGAACGTCTACAACTGATACGCATGCGGGGCGACGGCCTCCAACCGTTTATCATGGGCTGGGACAATCTATTGTTGGAGTGCCGCGAACCACCCGATGCGCGAACACCAGAGTCGTTATTCCGAGCGCAGATGCGCCGACGCCACAAGATGAAGCAGGATATACACGACGACGACAAGATGGCGAACCACGACCCCACTAGAGCATGCGAGTGGCTTCGAAGACGTTGTTTCGCCAACCTCGCGCAATCAGCACAACCTTAACAGCGAATCGAGTCGGCATGATTCCGTTATTTGAGTAGCCTGGACGGCGCAAGAGCGGTGACATGTGCAAGATGTTGCGCGTTGGGTCCAGCAGCCGTTCCACGCGACGACCTCCGCGACGGTCATCTACCCGCGGCAGATGCGCCTGCGACAGACGACCTTCCACTGGTCGCTGCTCTGGCCCACAGCCGAAATATATGATCGAACGGAACTTGCGTTTCTTCGCTGTCGCGAAACACGCCCACTACGAGATCGCCGTGGATGCCCGCGCACTCCGATATATATATATATATATATATATATATATATATATATATATATATTCCATGCGGACCTGAATCTAACATGCAAGCATGGAAGCAGCTGCCGCAATGCGCACATTGACACTGGCGCAAAGACTCCTGAGAGGAGCCCCACTCGGTCCTTCAGCCGAGACAGCCGCCGCAGGACACCTCCCCCGCGACGCGCGGGAGGCCGCGAACCTTCGCCCCATAAGGGGCGGCAGAGCTCCCGCAGTCCGGGGGGCGCGCGCTGGTCGCGACGAGGGTTGCCGTCTCCCGGGCGCGGGGGGCGATCCGACTCACGTGGTCCCGGGGCCGCGGATGGTGACCATGTCCCCGCGGCGCTCTCGATCCCTCTCACGGTGCTCCAGTCGTCGCCGAGGCGCGCCGCGGCCCCGCGAGATCTGGTCGCGCGAATCACTTTTCTTTTGCAAGAAGTCCTTTAAATTATAATCGGACCGGGCTGCAGGTCAGGCATCACACGTTTCGCCAATCTATCATCGGGCACCAAGCTTGCCGACGTGGCGGTGGAGCCGAGCGCGGAGGCTTGCGCGGCGCAGGCGGACCTCGCGAATTGCTTGCAGCGACGGGCGATCTCCCCCGCGCGTTTAGCTGGGGCTCGACGGGGCCCTGCTGAGGCATGCCCGCTCGCCCCCCCTGCACATGGCAGCGCCCCTCGACGGCTCGATCGCGCCCCTGTGCCATGCCGCCGCGCCGGCGGGCTGTAACTGGGCGATGTGGATCGCGTCTACCACCGGGCGCCGCGTTGCGGGACGGCGCCCGCAGACCGCGTCGCGCGCGGCGACTTCCCCTGACTGGGCAGGCGGGGAGGTTGTCCTGTTGCTGACAGCTTGAACGGCGTGGGGTCAGACTCCGGCCAGGCCGGCGCCATTCGCGATGGGCTCGCCGATCGCTCCCGGCGCGTCGGTTTCACCGTTCGCGGGAACTTCGCCCTTCCGCGGGCGCCGTCGCGCCGGGCTACAGGGCGATGGACCGCCAGTGGCTGATAGCCCCCGCCGGCTGAAAGCTGGGGCGGCTGAGGCCCCCCCGTCTCGGGCTTCCTCGGCGCCTCCGCCATCAGCGGCGTAAGTCATGGGGCTGCTCGATGGGCATCGCATTTGCATTTGCAGCATGCGTCGCCGTCCAATGTTCGCCACGTGGCACCATGTCCTCGCGGTCGTCGTGGCGCGCGCCACCAGCAGATGCCCAGTTTTGGGCGTCAGTCTGTAGGGGGGTCAGGTTGTTCGTCATGCTGCAGCCGCAGTGCCAGGCGCAGCTTGATCGACCGCAAATGCCCAGGGTTTCTGGGGTCCGAGGTCGTCGGGGAGCTGGGGGGCGCCGGGGCGAAGTCTAGGCGCAAGGCGGGTACTCCTGGAATCGAAGCTCGGGGGCGCTCTTTCGGGGGCACGGGCGCGATCGGCCGCGTTGACGCGGTCGGGCCGATTGGCGCCCGGGGGGGACCAGAGTGGTTGGACGATGGCCCGATCATCGTCGAGTCTCCTCGAGAGCTCCTGGGACCCAAAGATTGGCAGCATGGTTTCGCAAGTCGCCGCCTGAAGGTCAAAAACCGGCTTGGCGCTGGATTGGAAAGGGGTCAGTGGCGGCCCCACGATGACAATTTCCGTCTCGGCGGTCCTTTCGGCTGCTCGATCCCACGTAGTGGGCATGCGTTGTCGTTTACTTGGGCCTCAGAGCAGGGGGCCACCCTCCCCTGGCCATCCAAGAATCCGCCAGCGCCTGCTCGCATTCCCCCTCGCGGCCGATGTGCAGGTTCGTCGCGGGTGGCGCCCGTCGGAGCTGAGCGCCGCCGATGGTTGGTCGCGCGTCCGCGAAGTCGCCGGCGCCCATCTTGCTGGCTCGGAGGCGCCCTGCTTCGTCACAGGGCCACGCGAAGCTCGCCAGGTCGTTCCCCTGGTCGCCGACTCTCTTGCACGACGTCCGGGAGGTCGCGTTCTTCCTGGGGCTCGGGGTCGCCGGCGATTTGCTCATGTCGGCCGCCGCGAGGGCGGCCTCGAGTCCATGACGGCCGCGCGGAGTCTGCGCGCGTTCTTCCCCCGCCGGGGCTCGGCGGTTGCTGGAGACAGCCGACGTCGCCGCGGCCGAAGCGGCCCAGGA